AAATAGGAAGAAAAGGTCCAAAAGGGTAGGGAAAGTGGGAGGGGAAGGGGAAAGGAAAGAAGGGAAAGGAAAAAATATGAGAAAAGGAAAAAATGGAAACAAAGCCTTTGTAAATAGGGAAAGGTGGCAGGGGGTGAAGGGAGGGCAGGGGAATGGGGAAAAATAAGAACCAAGATACATCATTTACAGGTACAAGCACCCAATGATAAATGTAAACGTATTGTATACCTAAAATGTACCAATGAAAGAATTTAAGCAAAAAAAGAGTATATTGTTTAGTTTCTATGCATTTCTATAATTTCTGTTTTCTTTTGCTATTGATTTTAGACTTCATTGCAGTGTAATTTAATAATATGCATAGTATAATTTCAAGTTATTTAAGCTTGCTTTATTGGCTAGAATGTGGCCTATTTTGAAGAAAGTTCCACATGCCGCTAAAAAGAATGTGTGTTCTGTTGTTGTTGGGTGGAACACTATAGATATCTGTTAAGTCTGTTTGTTCAAAGATTTGGTTCAACTCTGGTATTTCTTTGCTAATTTTTTGGCTTAGTTGATCTATTTGCCATAGTGGGGTATTGAGGTACTCAATATGTTTAAGTTTATCTGGTCTTTTATGTCTAGTAGTACTTGTTTTATAAAGTTGGGTGCACTATTGTTTGGTGCATATATACTAATAATTGTTTTCTCTTCTTGCTGGATTGTTCCTTTAATATGCAGTGACCTTATTTGCCTTTTTTGATCAGTTTTGGCTTGAAGTCTACTTGTCTGAATGTAGGATAGTTAATTCTCATAACATGGAATATTGTTTTCCATCCTTTGATTTTTAGTCTATGAGTTTTTTTGGATCAATATGTTTTTTGTATACAGCATATCACTGATTTTGTTTCTTGATCCATTCTGCCAGTCTGTGTCTTTTGATGGGGAAATTGAGACCATTTGTATTGAGGGTTAACTGACAGGTATTGACTTATTTCTGTATTGCTTTATTTTCCTGTTGGTGATTCCCTTTCCCTTTTACTTAACTGCTTACCCTACTGGGTATACTCATTCTATTAGACCTTTTGTCATTGTTAGCTTCATTGTCTCTTTCTAGGGTATCTTTGAGAATTTTTTTGAGTGCTAGTTTGGTGGTCATGAATTTCTTTATGGTGCTCTTAACCAGCTACACTCTTTTTTTTTTTTTTGCGGTACTGGGATTGAACTCAGGACCTTGTGCTTGCCAGGCAGGCATGGTGCCACTGAGCTACATCCTCGGCCCTCTTAATGGTGCTCTTTATCATGAAAGTGTCTTATTTCTCCATCCATTTTAAAAGATAATTTTACAGGATATATCAGCCTGAGTTGGAAATTATTTTCTTTTAGGGCTTGAAGCACTTCACTCCAAGCTCTCCTGGGCCTTAAATTTTGTGCTGAAAAGTTTGCTGTAATTCTAGTGGGTCTTCCTTTATGCAATTTGTTGCTTCTCTAACTGCTTTTAAGATTCTGTTTTTGGTTGGACTTCCAGGATTTTGACTATAATGTGTTATGGAGAGGTTCTTTTTGGATCATTGAATTACCATAAGCCTCACTTATCTGTATGTTAGATTCTTTTTCCATATCTGAAAAATTTTCTGCTGTTATTTCAGTAAACAAGTTTTTAATGCCATTTGTGCTGTCTTCTGATTTTTCATTTATTCAAATTAATTCTAGATTAGTTTTCTTTGCATCTTCTGGGATCTGTTGGATCCGTTTTTCATGTTACCTTGTTGTTTTTAAGGTATCTCTCATTAATTGGTCATCAACAACTGTCCTGTCTTGTAGTTCTGACACTCTGTCCTCACACTGGTCACTTCTTCTGCCCATGCTTTCAATAGAATTTTCAATCTCTTGAATTTCTGTTTGGAGCCTTCTCATGGACTCTAATTCTTTTCTACACTGGTCATTCATGTTGTGTGTCATTCTGTATAGCTCTGCTAGTTTTTTATTAGCCTGTAGGCTTGCTGATTATTTTGTTTGTTTGGCCTCACCAAGTGCTGATCAGATCTTTGGTTGCCTGTTCTGAGGGGTATGGTGAAGGACAAAGAAAGACAGAGACAAATTTGCAGGTACAGGGAGACCCGAGATCAGTGCTTCAGACTGGGCAAAAGATAAGACCTCTTTTGCTGGCCCACTTTTATTAGCCAGTGAGAAGCGCAGGGAAGGGGTAGTGTACATTTTCTGGAACAGTGACTGCAGTAAGCAGGAGGTAGTAGAGTGAGGAACCAATTTAGCATCACAAAAGAAACAAGTTAAAATCCTTTCCCATAGCCAGTACTTGCTTTCTCTGTGCTGTGCTCAGCAGATGTTGTTTTGCCTCAGGAGCACTGGGGTTATGGGATTATGTCACACCCAGCCAGGAAGCCTGCAGCCTTCTGCAAAAAGTTCCCTATTCCTGAAGCAAGTCAACATCCACCCCGTGACTGCGGGGCCTGTAGTTTGGCCCCCACCAATCTATACATATCATGGCTGATCCACAACACAGAAACAATCCTAAAGCCTCAAAAATCCAAAAAAGGAAAGATAAAAATAATTTTTTAAAATAGGAAAATCAAAAAAGGATTGAATCAAAGAAAAAATCTCTCTCTTTTTTGAATGAGTGTTTTTTGTCCCCAAGATCTGCAGTCTTGAGATCCAGCCAGTCACAGTTTTCCCGGCCTAGCTTTTGGGATAAGGGTTTTTGAGATGCCCTCCCTGCACCAGAGGTCCCCCTGTCTGTTCACCCCGGACTGTGGTTACCGTCCAAGTGAAGGCGTGCCCTTGCTTCCTTTGGTAGATGGGAAGTTCCATTGGCCCTCTGGTCTCTGCTGGGTGCAGGCTGTGGGGCAGAGGTTCAGATAGCCTTTTTGACTTAATATTGACAGTCACAGGGTTGCTCCCTTCTATCTCCAGGTGTCCTTGTTCAGGATCAGGTAGTTGGTTTTTCCTGGCCTCTGCTGCCCTGTGCCAAGGGAAAGGGAAATGTAGAGCTGGCTTGGAGTTGGTGGATGCTCTTGCCCTTGCTGGGATAGGGATGGGGGCTTGCAGGTAGGGAGTCCATGCTTCCAGCACAGGTCTCATAACTAATAAGCAAATAAATGCAATATTTCAATTTCATTAATATTATTTAAGATTTAATTATTTTGCTTTTTTGTACTTATTATTCCTGTTTTGGTATCATTCAGAGAAATATTTGAACAACTTTGGAGAATTTAGCAAGGAATGATAGTAATAAAAAAGTAAAATTATTAATAATCATTACCACTTACTGATTATTTACTATGTATCAGACACTTAGCATACATTATACTATTTAACCTTTACAACAAACCTATAAAATAATTATTGCCAATCTACAAGATAAAATGAGGTTCAAGAAGACAAATCCACTTGCCTGTAGTCACATGACCTGGTAGTGTTGGAGCTGAATTTCAGTCATTTTGTGGCAAACTCTGGACTTTTGTAATTCTTTTTGTTTGTTTGTTTGTTTTGACACATAGTTCAGGCTGGCCTCAAACTCAGTGTGATCATCCAGCCTCAACTTCCGGAGTGCTGGGATGGCAGGTGTGTGCCACCACACCTAACTAAACTCTGGACTTTCAAAGTGAGCAGACCTGAGTCCACAGCCTGGCTCTATCAGGCCAGCAACTAGCTGTGTCAGCACACGTATAACCTGTCACCCCTCTGAGTCTTAGGGCTTTCACCTGTAAGACCTGTGCAATAATTCTTCCCTCAATCCTTCAATTGAAGCCCTGAAATGAGAAAATCCTATGTAATATGCCTTTCACCAGACAGAAAATCTGAGAGGGTTGCCTAACTGTCCTGCTCGACCACAGCCCTTTTCATTCTCTCTCCTCACTCAGTGTGGAGGCATCGGTGAGAAAACCCCAACCCAGGCCCAGCCAATCTTAGTAAGGAGCAGCGTGAGCTGTGGCATCTGTGGAGGCCGCGCCCCAGGACTGGCAGGCAGATCCTCCTTCCTTCGTGTGGGAGTCGGGGTGCGGCTCCCAGGAGAATCTCTGTGGAGCTGAGAGGCGTGAGAGGACAGTCGGGTGCAGCCCTGCTCATCTGCTGGCTCCTCTGCTCCTGTCGGTCTCCACGTGTACCAGCCATGGGAACCCTTGTTGGACACTTGCTGCCAGCAATAGGCTTTCTTCTCATCTCACTCTACTACGCAGTGTTGCTGTCCCTGGCCCTACTACGGGGACACAGGGTCCTCAAACCCCCTCTGCCCCCAAAGGAGAAGCGAGGACACAGTCTGTGGCAGCGGGAACCACTGGAAGGAATGGTGAAGGTGGTTTTCACTTTTACCGGCATCTTAGGTGAGCTCTTCTACCCCCCGGGGGTAAACAGGACGAGGCTGGTAGATTGGGATGACCCTCAACGGCCGTTTTTGTTCAAGGATGGCTGGCAGCACATCACCATGTACTCCTTTTTTATGTTCAGTGGGGTGGTGGACATTGTCAGCCAGCGGTGTCTGGCCCGGCAGAATGTGAAGTTGGAGCGGGCAGCCGAGGCCCTGGCCTTCTACGTGGTGGTGCTACTGATGGCTACCCACATTGAGAACAAGAACACCTTAGAGATCCGAGTGCATGTCCTGTTCATGGTGCCCACCTTCCTGCTAGCCCTGATGCTCAACATCGAGGTCTGGGTCCCAGACCAGCTCGCACTCTGGGTGCTCAAGACCTGGATGGTGCTGGTGCTCAGCAGCTGGCTGCTGCAGCTGTGTGTGGTGTTGTACGCTCCTCCCTCCGGACAGCCCTGGCGGGCCGACAGCCCCACGGACATGGCCTTTCTGACCACCTTCTTCTGCTGGCACCTGGGCTTAATGGCTCTCCTGCTGGCTGCTATCTATGGCCTCTGCAGCCTGTGGGTTCGTCGCTACTCTTCCTGGATGGCATCTCCAGGGGTCAAGTACAAGATGTGCCCCACTGAAGCCAGCAGGGAAGAGCTGGAGAGGCTCAGGCAAGAGGATGAGCTGCAGGATGGAGGTGTCTAGGTGCAGAGACTTCTTTGTGCTTTGTCTTTGGTAATGAGTTTCAAGCATTCTTGTGGCACAGATAACAACAAATGTTCTGGAATCCAGAGTGTGGCTTCCTATCTGGTGTTCCCAAATAAACCTCCCAGCTCAAGGGTGCCTTTTATCTGTCACTGTGTCGTCTCCTTGCCTGTTTCATTGCTCTCTGGGCTCCTGGCCATGCAGGTCTATGAAGGGAGAGCAAGGAGGAATGCTTCGGGGGCCCAAGAGGAAGGAGTGAAATGAGGAAATAAGGGGAGATGAAGGAGGAAATGGGTGGGGACCCAGGAGGATTGGACCTGCCTCCGGGTCAGGGTGCGTGTACGGGCCTGCAGTGCAAGTGGTGCAATGTGAGAGAGAGAGAGAGAGGCTTTGTTTGTACAGAGTGGTGAAATGTTCTCTTCATTTCTTTATTTTTTATCCCCACTGAGTGTAGCAGGATAACTTCTGTGGCTTTTTTTCTTTTTAAAAGACCTAAACAGAATGAAGCTCCTTCTGTCTCCTGAGAAAGTAAGAGACAGAGGAGGTTGTTGGTGGGGTGGGAGGTGGGTGGGCCAATCAATTTAGCCAGGGCTCAAGCCCAGAGGGAAAAGGGGCCAGGGAGGAATTCCCAAAGGTAGCTACCAAAAATGAGGATTATGGGAATATAGTTTTCAATGGTGTGGCTTTTGCTGTGACGATAACCAACTTCATTATTCAACTCCTTTTGTGAAGTCTACTGTATGGATTATGTCTTGTGTGAGTCATTCTCACACAAACCAAAGCAAAGGCACACATCTTAGCTGGGGACAGAGGAGGAGGAACGGCCGTGAAGCTGATGGTAGGTGGGATATGTGCCAATGATTCTCTATTTTGTTTTATTTTGTTTTGTGTTTTCCTTACTGGGGATCGAACCTGGCGCCTCACATATGCTATGCGAGGTATTCACCACTGAGTTACACCCCTAGCCCTTGTTTGCTTTTTGTTTGATCAGTGCTGGGATTGAACCAAGTGCCTAGGGCATGCTGGGCAAATGCTCTACCACTGAGCTACCCCAGCCCTCCCATGGTTCTGAAGATTGGAGAACTCACAGCTGAGAGAGAACCTGCGGATGTCAGTCCCCTGGAATCTGCAAAAGCTTTCAGCTAGTCATTAGAATTTTCCCCAAATAAGTCACTACTGAGCTCATATTCTGAGGAAAATATAGAAAGAAAACTGTATCAAAATCACTTGTCCTGGGTGCAGGTGGAAAGCCCTTTCTTCTAGGAGCAGGAGTTAGCTGAAGTGAGATGGAGACATCAGCATTTGGAAGTCTAAAGAGGCAGGCAGAAGGGAGCACACGCTGGCCAGTGATGTAGACAGAGAGACACGGAGAGAGGAATCCACCATGAAGCTGCTGCACTCACACCGCTCCCCACACAGCTGGAAACACTCTCCTTGGAGAACGGAAAGTTTCAGGAAGCACAGAGAGGTTGGCAGGGTGACAGAAAGGACAGCGGCACACTGTTGTCTGCAAATGCCACTGATACCCTGTAAAGAAGCACACACAGCATAGATAGTCGGCCCCGGAGACTTGGGCAGGGGGTCCCTTAGAGAAGGGGAGGAGAGGTGAGGAAGAAGGGCTGGGCTCTGGCACCTCACTCCGACCGGCTTCAGATGGGGGCTCAGGATCTGAAAGGAGGTGAAATGTGTCCTCAAGCAGCCAGAATCAGGCCAGTCCCAGCTTCCCTCCCCAGCAGAGCAGGAACCAACTCAGGGAGAGGCCAGTGCTCTTCCCTCTTTCCCCACCCCACATCCACCCTGAGATGAAGAAAGCTCGTGCTTCCACAGACCTCACCTGATGTGTCCTGTTCAGGGCCCTGGAAGGGGTTCACATGATCACATATCACTGAGAGTTGGTGTCTCGCTGAAGATTTGCAAAATGAGGCCTATTTTTTGGTATTCATTGTCCTAAAGAGGGTTCTCCAAAATCTACCAGCTTTAGGCTCCACAAAACCTTGCTCTGAGGGCTCAGTACAGGTTTCTTTCAGGACACACTATGATTAACACAGTGCTTCACCTGTTGGTGGAGCATTCTTCATTGGAAAACAATGTTAAGCCTCTTCCTTCTCCAACCTTAGAAGAAGTTTAAAGTGTTAATGACATTGTTGCTGGGAATGTAAAGTAGCACAACCACTATAGAAATCAGCATGAAGATTCCTCAAAAAACTAAAACTAGACATTCTCTTTGATCCAGCTTTCCTCTTCTAGGTATCTTCCAAAAAGAGTTAAAGACACCATAGAGGTCCGGGGATTTAGCTCAGTGGTTCTGGAGCTTTTCTTGCAGGCCCAAGGTCCCGAGTTTGATCCCCGGTACAAAAAAAGACACCATAGTACACCACAGTGATCCATGCGTACCCATGTTTATACCAGCTCAACTCATTGGCTAAATCTTGCAAATGGCCCATAAGACAGGTGAATGGATAAAGAAAATGTGGTATTTATACACAATGGAGTACTGCTCAGCCATAAAGAAGGATGAATTTGAATCATTTGTAGGAGAACAGGTGCACTTTGAAACCGTGATGTGAAGTGAAATAAATCAGACACAGAAGCTTAAATATCACATGGTTTCTTGTCTATGAGCAAACTAAATTATAAATAAAGAAAGAGATAAAAGACAATGGGAGGTAGGGAGATAGATCTTTCTCAAATGGTCAGGGAATCAAGAGATGGAGAAATGAGGAGAGGGAAAGGGGAGGGAAAAAGGAATTAAGGTATGTGTGTACAGGTACCAACTCTGAAGTAGGAATGTAAATACTATGTACTGCAAACATGTACTAATAAAAAATTAATGACATCATAGCATTCAGGGCTGAAAATCACCTGCTAAAGGATAATCCTTCATCAACAAATGTAAAGGAAGGGCTAGGATGTAGCTCAGTCACAGAGCCCTTGCCTAGTGCCACACCCAGCCCCAGGCCCTGGGTGCCATTCACAGCACTACAAAAGCAATATAAATGAGTGTTAATAGATCCTAGTCCAATTTTGAGAAAAAGGACCCAGAGGCACAGAACACTGGCGGCTCAGAGAGGAGGTGGCAGTGATTTACATGGATAGCTCCTCCTATTTCTTTCACTTATGCTGTGGGCAGGGGTTGTGGTCTGAACACCTAGCTCTTGCTTAGCATATTAGTCAGGGTTCTCCAGAGAAAACAGGATGTTTAAATGGATGGATGGATAGATGGATGGATGGATGGATGGATGTGTAATTGGGTAGCTTTTTCTAAAAAAGTGGCTCACCAACTAAACATTATTGGATTCCATTGTGGAGTACTAGCCTCTGCTTCCAGAGTTAAAGCAGTGGCAAAGTTTATTCCAGAAAGTAAAAGTGAAGAGTGCGAGAGAAACTGGCTCTGCAGAGAAGCTTGGGCCAAGAAAAGAGAAAAAGAGAGTAAGAGAAAACATAAAAGTACAGGCTATGTCTGGGAAACACAGTGTGGGTTATCATGGAAAGTTATGATAGCAAAGTCTTCACGGTGTGGATGTGTCTGTCCTTTAATGCTATCTAAATCTTGAGGAAACCTGCAAAAACTCCTACATACTGGTCCCAAGAGGCAATGTTTGGATGCCACACTTCAGGCTGACATCAAGTCTGGGCCATCCTATTGAAAACCTACTCGAGTTCTCAGGAGAAGTCCATGAGCAGAGCATCAGGAACTTTTCCACACATGTGTCCTGGATTTTGTAGTTAACAGGTCATCCCTACTTCCCCAGTCAGCTTTTACCATGCCCTAATCTCCTATCTCAGATGGATGGATGCAGATTTTTAAGAACTGGCTCATGAGATCGTGAAAGGTGGCAAGTCTAAAATCTGCAAAGCAGGCCCAGAGGACATAACATTGGGTTATAACAACCCGTCCCATATTTTTCTACTATAAATTTGTACTTTAGCATAATAGTTGATGGCTGTGCATCTCAGTAGCTGTGCCTGGGGGATACAGGAAGCAATCTTTGTGTTTATCCACTTGGTATGATGAACAGCATGGTGTGTGCACATGTGCAAGTGTCAAACTGGGACTTTTACCCACATAATGTTCCATCTAACAGGTTCTATCTGCATATGTTTACCTGAGCATCCCAGGGGGTAAAATACACCCACACCACTCTTCTATTATGAAAATATGTATTTTACCATAATGGAATATGGGTGTGACTCACAGTAGCTGCACCTGGGGGAAAGCAAAAACCCATCTGTGCATTCACTCACTTGGCACACAAATGGCAAGGTGTGTGTAGGAGCTCCAAAGCAGCCACAAGTGTGTTTTACCCATGAAATGCTCATTGCTAAATTTCTATATATTCAGGATTTTAAAAAAAGTTTTCTTTTGATTTTTCTGGTAGAAGTAGCCCAATTCAGTATAATGGCACATGAAAAAACAGATTTGCAAGTTTTAGAGAAGCTCAAAAGTGAATCATTAGATTACTCATTCATGAATGATGAAGACGATAATGACTTTGATGTTGGCCATGTGAGCCAAAGTTCCTGGGACAGTGAAATGGAGCAAGAATTGATTGATACAGACACAGGGAATGCAGACCTCCTTGACTGAGATGACAAGAAAACAGCAATGTGAGTGCATATTTGACTAGTCGAAATGTTGCAAAATGATCATGTAACCAAATGGAATGATCTAATGTTAGAAATAGGTCCAAAAATATAGTGAGAATCTTGGCAATGGTGAAACCTATTGAACTGAATGGCAGCACTCCCATTCAAGGTTGGGAATTGTAACAGACAAAATGCTACAAGATGCTGTGAAATACACAAAGACCGAAATACAAGTAAAACGTTCTGTATGCACCAATAGCTATATTCAAAAATGTATTTATTATGACACCTCACTAGCTGAACTGAAACCATTCATAGGTCTGCTGTACTTTGCAGGGATTTTTCGCGATAATTGTAGGAATGTAAAAGACTTACAGAAAAGCTATGGGTCAAAATGTGGCATAAAATTTATTTCCTTGTGGATACAAAGACATTATCCCTTCAATTTATAAATTTATTGTGGAACTCAGCTACCAGGTCCTTATTTGTATAGTAATAAACTGAATGATGTTGTGAACAGACTTGTTGCTCCTACCTCCCAAACTAATCAGAATGTGATGTTCAA